CCACTGCCCCCCCTCCATAACGATTGGCGTGTTTCTCACTCACCCCGCGGTCTCCCTCTGCATCCCTGGATGGAAGCAAACATTTGGGCAGGCAACTCCACTGGCCCTTTCAGGCTAGCTTTCGCGACAAATCTGTGTTGGCAGAGTATCGACGAGCCTGGTGCATCATGGGACTATGTTGTTGCACTGTACGTCACCATGCCGGACAGCAGTCTTTGCGCATTCTGCTGCCGAGGCACGCAGGCTGCCATGCTTCGTGCACGGAGTACTGCGCTGCATTCATACGGGGCTGTCTCAACTGTTCGAAGTCGTCTCGGCCATGGATTGCCTGGTTAGATTGAAGTGCTTCTCAGAGAAGTCAGTCGTGTTTGATTCTGGCTTCAATCCATTGGGTCTGGGAAGCGGTAGCTACGATGTCAAAAGGCTCTTGAGCTGAATAGCTCGACAAGCATGGACATGCATGAAACATTCTCACATGCTTCCTAGGACTTCCTGCTCGAGCCCTAGTGCCTTTTCGCCGGCCGAAAGGGCTTGGCTTGCGGGACCTGGCGTTTTCACCTTCCCGCAGTGAAACGTGAGCTGGCTAAAATCAACAATCAATCTGCATGGGATTTTCCGCTACTGCAAACAAAAACTTTGTAGATATCAGAATGCATCAGATCCAGATCTTCTGCAGATGACGTAGCTAGGCTGGCACAGAAACTGGCCCACTTTGGACGCCGTGCCAAGCGAGATCGGATTCATCGATTCTGGTTTAAAATGAAGGCAGTCTACCACCAAATCCGGGCCACAAGAACGGAAAAGAGTCTGCCTCGGCCCTGGCTAAAAGCCTTGTCAATGTGGAGCGGGCTACCCGATGGTGGTAAAGTGCAGACAAGTGCTAGACCCTTCAGGGTGCCTTTCTTGAAGCCTCTGCACGCTGCTTAAGCTGCTTGCCACATACAACTGCAGCCAGTGCTAAGTTGCATGAGCTTCTGCATGATCATGACGCAAGCATCCGGCAGACTTGTGTGCTTGCTTGGCCAGCTTTGTCTAAGTTCCCGGCACATTCTCTACGAGGGCTTCAAGTCTCCAGACTTTTTGCGTCGCCGGGCCTGAACAAGAAAGGAAGCGGCACTGGCTGCCAAGCCTGTCTGCTCGGTTACCATCATCACTGTCTTCCAGTGGCATCAACCTCCACTGACATCTACCACAGCGCTATTTCTGAACCTCTTCCTCCTCCTCCTCCCCTTCTGCTCCGATTCTTGCTGTTTTTCTTCGGGCTACGGGTACTGCTGGACTCATTACCCAGGAAGCTTCAGTTCAGAAGCACAAGGCGTGCAAGCAGGATCCGGGCCCATGGGACGCGTGGGGTTGCGGGGCGCCCAAGCTCTGGCTCAGGCTGCCTGGCCCGCAGGAATGAGGGAGAGTACAAGCAAGACAGCAAGACAGTCTGTGCGTAGCACCATGATGATGGCGACAAGACTGCTAATTAGACATCATCAGCCCCAGAGTTGGAGTTCGGATGTATGCGGTTCAGTAAAGGCAGCTTCTCCGGTTCGGCAGTATGATGCACACAGGTCCACGCTTCACCTGGTCCGGGACTTAGCCTCTCGGGAGGACATTGCGCAATTTTATATGAAAGCAGGTCTACCCAGAAGCATCTATGTGAGTGAAAGCGAAAGTGGGCCTGTGCATTTGCATGCATATAGCATCATGTCGCTATATTGTGGAACTTAAAACGTAGACACACGTGTCGTCTGTTCGCATGCATGCAGCCACGCAGAAACATGCACCCACATGCACGTACCTGTCTGAGTCTATCTCTCTGCAGATCCCCCATCCCTTCATCAACTCATATGCATAGTGTCTGTCTACCTGCTCTCCCTCAGCACCAGGATTGCAATATGAACTGCTCCCGGGCTGGAGCTTATATAGTCTCACATGGCTCCATGTGTTTCCAGTTCATTCCAATTCTCTTCCACGAGTCGGAACACCAAACCCTGCTCGTTGAGGTCTGCCACGCTGAAACACAATCGGGCATAGCCCGCAGCCATGCCAGCAACACCTAGGCCGGAAGTCATCAGTCCTGCCACGCAGATGTGATCAAACGGCGTGCGTGCACAAACAATCTCTTTCGCAAAAGCTTGCTCCTGTCGAACTGGATCCGACGGTAGTGCTGGAGCCTCCCATGCACGGAGCTTAGATAGTTTTGCACGGGCTGGCTGCGTGCCGGCTGCGTGCCGGCTGCTCCAATTACAGGACTTGTGGAAGCTCGCGCGGAATTTTTGTAGGGTCTTGATGCGAGCTACATGATCCGCAGAGTGCGGCGGGCCTTGCCCTTCTGGAGGGACCTTCAGAGGCAAAGCGCTGGCACTGAATTGACCCCATGCGCATCTGGTTGCACTTTCCACACGAAGTTTCAGTAGCCTGCCTTGTGGACCGTCCGCTTCTGCTTTGGCAGCGGCTGCAGGCCTGTCAGATGATACCACATGGAACGATGAGGCAGCCAAGGCGACTGGATTGTCACAGCCCGTGAGGTGCGCACACCGAGGTCAGATCTAGGCGGGTGCCAGTGTGGGTTGTCAGATCGCCGTTCTTTCGCGACACAGGACATCAGCGAATCGTCCAGCAGCAGCTGCAGCAATGCTCAAAATCAGCTTCCGTTCCGGCCTCCAGATCCTTCTATAGGTGGAAAAGTGAGATTCGTACCTGCTGCTTGCTAGCAACTGACAGTGCTGTATTATGTATCTGGTCACGTACTTGCTGTAGAACCATGTAAAGCTTTCTCCACAGCAGAACAACGACTCTGTCTTCCCAGCTACTGCCAGTCATGCTGCTTGCACGCTCAAGTGTAGAAATGCAGAATCCTGCTGGTGCACGAATTTTGCAAATAGTATTGTAAACAGCTCTCGGCTGCCTGCGCTATCCCCAACACAAAAAGTCGGTGTCCGGCATGCCTCCGCCAGCTGTAGAAGCCGCAAGGCCTGAACGGGATCACACGCTGCGACGCTGCGGCCGGATCTGCAATACTGTGGACGTACATATGCACTTTTGCAAGCACCAGCAGGGCTTTGTGGGCATCCTCTATCACAAACCGCGTTCCCACTGCAATTCTGGAACGTGCAGTCTCCTGTGCACAGACGCAAAATCAGAGCCTCCAGTCGCACCAAAACCGCCTGAGCTTGGAGTTTCGATGTTTCAAGCAGAGCAGCATACAGGTGACCCGGTGTTCAGCCTGTGGAGCTCATCTGCACACCTCGCCGACCTGAGAGGCAGCGTGACAGGAGTCGAGGCTGTTCGGCTCACGTTGATGAACCTTGCCCTGCTTGGGCTGGAAACCCTGAGATCGCTACTTCGATGACTGTCAGCGGCTCCTCGTGTCCTAGCGAGGCGGTAATCTCATGTTGATGCTGGCGAGCATCCAACATCACAGCATGCGCAAGGGGCAGTGGAACTTGACCAAATGCCACATCTTGCACATCATCTGTTGTCCGCGCACTCCTTGAACTAGTGGATGATGCCTGGGCTTCAGGCCTCCAGAAACACCGATAATTGCAAGCATATTGCATTGATCGTAAACGCAGTCGCCGTTCGTCGTGCTTTTGTGAGGGCCACGCGCTCTCCCGGCAGCGCCGCTATCCCGGGGAGGCCTGGCAGCAAAGCAAAACAAAAAGAGAGAGGGATCCTCACACTCTGCAAGGTCTTAGATCGAATACGATGGCTGTGCCATGCACTTATGAGTGTGGTTCTTGACAATCATATGACGTAGTTCTAGCTCGCGACAGTCCCAAGGCTTAATCCGTACCGTGACGCAGAAAGTCTTGCCATGCTTAGTTGTAGCATCGCTTGAGGCAGGAACTTGGCATAGCATTCCAGGATCCATTCCTGTGTGAGTTTGCAAGCCGCGAATCAGACCGAAGCTTCCGAGAACAGCCGCATCGACATGACATTAACTAGGATTTGATTAGATAGCCCTCCTCCGAATGCCTGTGTGGAAGCACTGAGTTTCTGTGGACACTCTTTCGGACCGACTCCTGCTGCAGCGCGTCTTCAGGGCTGAAGCGCTCCCGCGCATCCCACTGCCTGGGAAACCGGTCTGCTCAGGGGACCCTGGACCTCTGGGCATGAAGTTACCCTTGATCGATCATGGGCCGCTTGTATCGAGCTTCGATTTTCGCCCCCCCCCCCCCCTATGGCGGGGCTGGATACACCTACCCAAAGGGTCCCACCCAACCTCCAGACATCCAGAGGTAGCAATAACAGGTGTCCGTGCAAGGGCCATGATACAACTTGCCATCCCAAGAAAGCCTTAGGAACGCACAAGCAGCCGAGCAGGAAGTCCACGAACCTGGCGCGAAGCACCCCTTCGAGGCTCTAGAAGCCCAACTGTTGTCTGAGTACGAAGCAAGATTCAGCGCTCGCCCAGCTTTCTCAAAATTTGGCAGCGTGACTTCCCCTCCGAGGTACGCAGGACCGACTGCAGCTCCTGGAATCGGGACGTGGTTCAGGCTTGCAGGCTTGAGACGGAGTCCTGTTGATGCCTGGGAGCATTGCAAGCAAGTCTACATGATTCATTGCACTGAAACATGTCGCCAACCGCGGCATGCCGGCTCATAGACCAGTTATGTCCGGTTGAGATGATGGGTAAACATAGAGCCGTCTTTGGAGACCCTGGCGAGGAATCCAACACGGGGCCTTCGCCCCAGGTCTTCGAAGCTTGCCCCGCGAGTTGGGAACCAGACGCGGGTTGCCATGGGGATCGAAAAACCTGCGTAGCTGCATCTTTACAAAGCAGATAGCAGATTGCAGATTCGTGTCCCTTATGCCTTCTTTGGCCAGGCTGCAGCTTGGATCTAGATAGAGAGAAGATGCAACCATTGAAGAACAGCAAGGTGCCCATGCACTCTTTGGAGCTCGGGGCGACTCAGAGTCACGAAAACGACAAATAGGCGTCCTTTGCACCGTGTTGGATAAAACCGCTGAGGAGCTCAAGTAAGGGCAAGCTTGTTTTGTCTGCGTCATTGGCAGAAACAGGCCAGGCCACAAACGCAGCACCAGAAAAAACTGCACCACACTGCAAGATCTCGCTGAAATTGCTCCTCGGCAGCCAGGAGTGAACAGATCGTGCCAGTGCGCCTGGATGATTCTGCCTTACGCGCACTGTGTGCAAGTGCGACTTGCTGAAGCCAAGCAGCAGTGGTCCGTTCGCCTTGGGGCATCGAACACTTCTTCACATGTAGGCAGTGATGCTGAAAAGAAAACCGCACAACCCTCGGTGGCCGATGCAGCCATGATTCACAATGCTTCGAAAGGTGCCTGCTACAACGATCTCCTTTCGGAAGACTTGTCAGGTTGTAGTCAAGGACTTGTGAGGACTGTGGCTCTACTCTTTTTAGCTCTTCGTGCTTTGTCTGTGTATGCTCTGCAAAACGGAATATATTGTGAGAAACCAAGTTGCTTGGATTGGTCTCTGGCTGGTCGACCGTGATCGTCGCGGCCGACGACGTCTGAGGTTAATTTGATGTTGTTTTTCTGTCGACGTCTGTCTCAAGTGCAGAAAACAGAAGAAAGATCCAACATTCGGGCTACACTTAATCCCTGATCACCTCTGCTGAAAGCAATGAAACGCGCACGCTTGGTTTGGACAGTCACTGCCCCCGATCGGATCAGCCGAAGCAGCCTGTGCAGAGTAGCCTCGCCACCTGGCTGTGATGCAGAGAGTGCTCCATGGTTCCAGCTTGTGTATAGCAGCATAGCAGGCCTCTTCGTAGCCAGAAGGAAGTCCTTGGTCAGGGTGCAAACACGAACAATGCCGAACTACATGATCGCGACAAGAGAAACCTATTGGGCAAGTTCAATCGTTCTCATACCTGAACGTATGAGCATCTGAAAGCAAGAAGCAGGGGTGGAATGGATCAGGCCTCAGTTTCTCCCGTACTTTGTCCTGTCAGGTTACTCTTGACTCTTCACAGCTACTTGTAATTTACATTCCACGTTCTTAGGCCAAAGCTGACTGAGTCTGTGAGGTTTTTCTTTTCACTGCGTGCGAAGCCATCGCCACCTCGACGCAACAAGGACATGCTCATCAAGAGTGTGTGCTCTTGATCGGCTTGTCAGCCTTCTTGGCCTTGTTCATCAGGCTGTCTTGGAAAAGCTCCAACCTTGGATTTACTGGGGCGCTACAACGACGTGTTCCTTGGCAAGCACAAGGTGCATGGAACAGTTCTGAGTAGGGCACCGCCTGTTCAGCAGGTAATGCTCCTCAGCACCAGGCAGGGCAATAGCGACTCCATGGAGCATGTCCCACCTTTGTCTGTGACAGAACTGCCCCTTCTCCATTGATACGGCTCGAGAAATCACCCCAACTACTATTTCGCTGCTAAAACGCAAGCAGAGACAAGCCACATCGTCTTCGGAAGATGCATCATCCGATCCGACAGCCTGGCAGGCAAATCCCAAAGACATGCCATGTCTGCAGGGATTACTCTGCAGGGTGGTTGAGTGAGACAGGAAGCGAGGGAGCTATAGGCTACAGCCTGAACTATTCCTGCTCCCCTGCAACGCGGTCAAGTCTGCACCCGCATAGCTTCAACGTGGTTTCCCTCCGCCTGCGCTGTGGCTTTCTTCGTGGCGCTGATGGCCGACCTGCTCGATATCCGTGCAGGTTAATGTAGCGGTTCAATTCTAGGCTGTTCCTCCAGCACCCTCCCAGAGCAACTCCTGCCAAATAGAGGCTGGGGCAGAGATAAAATCACAGGCATGCATAGCTTTGCTGAGCGGGACATACACTTGTAAAGAGCGAGAGAGACAGAGAGAGAGAGGGAGAGAGTGCGGTCACGCAGGCATGTAAAAAATGTAATCTTTCAATCATCTTGGAAATCGATACTTGGCTAAATCACAGCCAAGCTTGGACGCAGCCAGAGTTTCTGTTTTGAGCGAGGCCGAGGTCGAGGCCGGGTAAAAGTCGCAACGCCGCGGTTTCCGTTAAAACAGCAACGATGCTCAGCCTTTCGCCTTCAACACATCTGCCCGCATGGGTACATGGCAGTCATCCCATGCCATCAACTGCGAACGGCGAATTTCTCGTTCACTCGAACGTGAAAGACAGGTTGAAGTTATGGCTTTCCAGACCCGTCGTGATTTCATTTCCGTGCAGGAGGCGAAGGATGATCCGGACACATTGGGGCACTGTGCGCCCCTCGCAGGATTCTGGGAACTGCATCTTGCATTTGGCTGTCCCAATTTCATATCCTAGACCTCCGATGCATCTGCAAGATGACGAATCGAACTTCGAAAGTTGTAGCTTGCCAATAACAACCAACACCAGGGTCAGTGCTGTTACTCGCACCAGTTTGCACTCGCGACAATACTAATCAGGAGGAGCCAGAAATGTAAGACTGTGGGTAGCTTCCACGTGCGGCGGGTTCAGGGCAAATAGTCTTTTGTTTTGCGGGATCAGGGCTTAAGGATCCAGGGCTTCGTCAGGAATAGGGGTTGAGTCTTAAGCGTTGGAGGGTTGAAGGGACATGCTCTAAATTAAAAGCAGCAAAGGCTGCATGGAGTGTTATTTGACATTGCGCTGTCTCTGCAAAGCCCAACTCAACAACTAGCCGGGCTTTCGCTACTGACTGCCGTTGGGGGTGCTACTTGGCCCTAGCTCAGCCCGATGTTAGAATCTGCTGTGCATGGGGCGGCCGGGAGCGCTCCATTTAGTCTTAAGGTGATGCAGTTATTTAGGGCGATCACATCATCTTGAACTGCCTATGCCGAACCCCTTAGACACCACCGGAATCTTTCTACCCCAGGACGGACACTCCTACCCCGAACGCAGCGATGATTTCCCCAAGGCGGCCATGAGAGGGACAATCCGAAGCGCCCCCATCATTCATACTAGATGCTGTAATGCTCTCGTCCCACCGTTGCCTCCACCCTCGATCGCTGCACTTCCGAAAGTGTATAGCATGGCATTCAGAGGCAGAACTGACGCTCCGAACGAAATTGAGCGTCGCCTAGGTTCATTCTGTCGCACGTTGCTTTGTTGCATTGCTGCGGCACCCCCCGTTGTCATCCTGATCCCTGATCTCCAAAGCTACAAACTGAAGCGCATGTTGTTTTGCTTGGCGCTGTTTTGTGCCGAAGGCCCCTTCGGGAAAGAAGAGCCTTTGGCAGCAATTTGAGAGTACCAGCTACGGATTGTTGGTAGGGCGTCGTGCGCAATATGTGTCCGTCTAGAAGGAGAGCGCATGTTGTAGATTCCATCATGGACCTATGGATTTGAAGGCAGCCAGCCGATGCTTTGACATATTTTTCTTTCTTGGCCGAAACGAGATCCTGAGATGTGCCTGAAGCTCTTGTTCAGGAGGCCTTTGCAGCTGTCAAGGAGCCGACTTAACTGGCTTATGGACTTCTCACCGAGAAGCAAAGCTCCAAACGGCCCTACCTTACGAATACGGAAAGTGTTGCTTATTGCTGCCAAGACTGTTGACTGATGCCACATGCTGATGCAATCGAAAGGACACGTGCTTGCTTACATCGCAGCAAGCACCCGCTGGCTCTTGCCAGGCACGTTAAAACGTTATGCAAAGCACATGCAGTGGTTGTTGAGTCAAAAAAATTGCATAACATGAACATCGCCACCTGCCTCGCGAAATGGAGCTCGAACCTGGAGCAAGGTGGATGGCATGTCGCTTTGCTCTGACGTGTTTTGATATTGTTTTGATCAAGTCACGTGCGCATCAGCAGCGCGGCTCCCAGCTGCGAGCGGCTCTCGCCGTGGTGCTTGTAGAATCCGCCTCGCGACTCGGCTTCTCTTCGGTGCTAAAAAGAGCCAGCCGTGCCATGCGGTGCCATGCGGTGCCTGTGTCGGCGTCCAAAAGCACCTGGTTCGGCATCGGGGAGAAATCCTCAGATTCTCTGGTCCTGTCTCAAGCGTATGGAGTATGTCTGTTCAAAAGTATGGACTGCTTCAGGCAAAGGGACTTGAGGAAAGCCAGTGACGCTGTCCCAGTAGCGATTCGCCTCCGGACTCCAGCATACGCCACAAAAGACACAAATCAATGCAGCCACTGCAAGATGGAAAGGAAAGGAGCATGCACACAAAAGCATCGCTGACCCTGTGTGTTCTAGGACGATGACGCTTTGAAAGCTAGAGACATCAAAAGGGTCCCAACTCCCAACCGACCTGTGCTGTCTCGCGCCTGGACAGGACGAAGTGCAGCATTCCTGGCTGCTGCATTGGGCGGCAGCAGTGTATGCGGACAGTCAGGACCTACTGTATATGGCTGCAGCTGCATCAGCCGGAAGCGGCGAGAAAGCCGCAAAGTCTTGTCAAACCCGACTTGGCTCCGGTCGGGTTCCCAAATGGCGCTCTGCAGCCTCCTTTGCAGCAACGTCTGACAAGGCCCGCAGCCCTTATGACGCTCTCTTCGCAGCTCCCTGAACACCGACTCTGTGAAGTGTGGGGCCCGATGCTCAGGGTCTTCATGGGTCTGAAATTTTCTCAGGCTCGCGGCACGTCCGGTGGAGTCTGTCCACCTGCGCATTTGGGAAGAATAGAATTCGTGCTGTACCCTGCAGAAGCAGAAGCGCAAAACGCACATAGCCTGTAGGCATTCCAGGTGACCACAAACACTTCGGTCTCCTACAAGGCACAAGGGATCACAAGGGTGAAGGAGCCGCAGCGGTTGGCTGCTCGTACCGCTATGCGTGTATGTGAAGATGCGGATTGGGTACAAGCTGCCAGCTCGTCTTGGTTTAAGTCCTGGCGCTGTATTTGGAATTTCAGCGCTGCGGCTTGTGCCAGTGCCGCCCCATGCGAGATGCCGGAGAATATCCTCAAAGCCAAGGCCAGAGTGAAAGCTGCCGGGTACCGAGCAAACCGGTCAAACGAGATCGCGAATGTGGACATGCGCATGAATCGCAGCCAGTCGCAGCCCGACTCTCTTGCATGAAACTGTCGGCTACCACCAACTCATACCCCGACAGACAAGATGCACTCGGTGACTGGGAAGCTCTTTCACCTGTGCTGCCACAGGATTCGCAGGCGCAGCTTGTACATTACGCCACGGATGAATTGACTTACGTTAATGATGCTAGTGAGACTTGGGGAGCAGATTGCAGAATGCTAGCAGATCATCCCTACATTGACATACATCCCTCGTCGCCAATACTGCCGACCACTTGAATAGGACCGCTCGCGCATGTGCCCCCCCATGCGAAACGTATCATGATGGTCGTAAAAATCGGGTCAGAACTCAGCGGAAGTAAGCCCTCACACGGGCAAGGCATGTGACAGAACCGCCAGCGGAGTCTAGCCAATGCCGCGGCGCAGTCTGCAGGAGCTTGTGGTAGAGCCTCTGGTCACCATCTGGGTCCCACAAGCGATCCTTGCAATCGGAGATCTTGTTCGAATAGCGACTCGGTAAGAAGTGGTGCACCACAGCACCGCCAACTCCCCATGGATTTATTGAACTATGTCAATAGTGCTATTGTTTGTCGGAGCATGGGCGAATGACCAACTGCGGCTTTCAAACATGGCGAGTTCAGGCAAGACTCTAGCTTGACTTTGATGTACTCGGACACTGGCAGCATCATCCTTGGATGTCAAACGGCTGCTGCAAGCAAACATGATTAAACCTTGGTCGCCAAATGTCTCTCCCATGGAGGCATCGGTGGTCTGGTGACAGGCACGCCGCGCACTCCTTGGAAGCACCGATTTGGATTACGATGGTGTCTTGGCTAAACAGTGCATATCAAAGAGTCATCCCATTCTTTGCGAGGCCAGCACAGCAGATCTTCCTTTCCAGGGCTGAGACGCACCATCTGGTGCGGATGGCATGGGTGTCCATGCATGAAGCTTTTGCAGCTTACCAGCCGATGTCTGATCAATGCTTAGCGTCACGAACTGAGTGCGGTATCGGAGGGGTGAGAAGCAAACGTAGATACTGCCTCAGGGAACAAGGCTGTAACTATACTGCATTGACCAGCCTGCATTTGTAGTCGCACACTGGCACCCAGGAAAACGCACATGGTGTGCTGCATTAGGCTTTCGCAGCTGAGCTTCAACAAGTCTCAGCACATACTCTCTGCTCTTGGCGAAGGGCAACCATCCGTTTCTGCCGTGTCACGGTCGCCGCTGGCAGCGCCGGTGACCCAAATGAAAGCAACAGCTTCACCTCAGACATCTGCCACCAGCATTGCTCGCAGTTTCAGAAAAGGTTCTCTGTCTGTTTTCGACTTCAGACTCTCCATTGCTGCTTTATCGTACCACACGAACGGGAAAACCGCTGCACAGAAGCAGCGGCAGAAAAATGGGCCGTTGTGCCTTGTGCACGTGACAATACAATCTGCCAACGTCTTGCGCCGGAAGCTTCATCTGGGAGCGAGAGACTAAAACTTTGAGCTTCGGTGCGGTTTGGACTTGCATAGCGGAGCTACCCTGTCGGCACCGTCACATCCAAGCCGCGGTTTCCTGCCCGGTGCAGCAGATACAGGTGCCAAGTGTCATCCCCAGACCTGATCCAAGTCAGAATTGAGGCGCGCGGCGTACACTGAGACGGGCAAGCCCGGGAGACGGCAGCCTCCGGGCAACACCTAGTCTTGCTTGATGGAGCAACAAATGCCCGCATCGGTGAGTGCATGTAGTTTCGATATGCTTTCTTTCACCCGGCCTGTGTGGAATGTGGAGTTCTGCCCGCCTCACTCGGGGAAGGCTTTCTGGTCTTGCATGAATATGTGCTTTCTTTCGCCGGGTGTCGAAAGCTCGGTGTAAACCAAGCCGATGTTTGCAGCGCTGTTCAGCCCCTGCATGAAGCGACCACGGTACTTCCTGGCCAAAACGCAGCTCAGAGTTGAGATGGCCGAGCTTAGTGGTACAGCCTGGGGCCCTTGCAGTTCTTACAGGCTTTGTGTTGCTGCCAAAGTAGCTCAGAGAAGCTGGTGCTAAGCAGGAGGGCCGTAAATATCTGTCCACCATGGAGAAGAGCCTTCACGCTCCGAAGTGTCGGATCGACGCAGCAGCGTGTGAACACGATATCACCTGCTGAGATCGGGGCTGGCCACTCTCCAGGGAGGGTCGTCGGCTCATCCATGGAACGGTTGGGGCCCGCAGCAATAGAAACTCTACATTATTGCGGGGCCGTCAAGCGTGTCAACTTACATAGGGCAGAATGCGTGGAACAGGTAGGTGTGTGTGTGTGTGTGTGTATGTGTGTGTGTGTGTCTGTGTGTGTGTGCCTGCGTGATATGTTGGACTGGCAGGCTTGAGTGCCCTGGTTTGCTTTGAGGCCCGTAACAGTGCAGCCATGCCTTGACTTTGGTCGACAGTGACTTTGCATTGCAACCATGAATCGTCTTTTCGTTGAGTCTTTCAGAGCTGGAACCCGAGCGCCATGGCCAATGCACTGCTTGCCATGTACGATTGCTAGTCAACATGGAGTTGAATTAGGATCGGCGTGTGGCGAGGGGGAGGAAGCACATCTTGATTCGCGGGGCGCCCTCCAAGATCTTGGATGGTGGCACCTCATCATATCTTCCGCGGGCAGAGAGCCAACTGCCACTGACAAAGAACTGGAACATCTTGCGTGAGTTCGCAAGCCAAAGTGGTGAGGACCCGACGCCAAAGAGCTCCATAATACAGGCCAGTTGCTCTACCTCCGTGCACACTGACCAGGTTCTGTCGTCGGAGCAGCGACACAAGCAAATCACACAGGACTGCCTCGTTCTCACCAGGGAAGAGCGGATATCCTGTGTACAACCTCGGACGATGATCCAAACAAGACAGTATCTGCAGGATGAAGCTGCACCGCACCGCAGCATCTTCCAAGTACTAATGTGTGCCTGCTCGTCAGGAGTTCGAAGTGGGATCTAAGGCATGAGCTCGGCCAAGATGCATCCGAAAGACCACATGTCTATCGCAGTGTCGTACCTTGGGGGCAAATGCGAAAAACATCTTGCCAATCTCCATACTCGTCGACCTTCCCTGAGAGCAGCCCGACCTCACTCTGGACGAAGCTTGCGCTCCGCTTTTGTGCGCCATCGCTGTGGGGTGCCACAGCTCGTGCGTGTGTACTTCAGCTTTTCGCTTTGATGAGCTCAAGGAACAACGAAACGCACAGGCAACGCTGAAAGCCCCACAGCCCCAAAGTTGCCCGATTCCTTTGATGTCGTTCCAGCCTGCTTGTCAATGCTCGTGGCAACTCATTCCATCTTCCGGTGCATGAGCAACAGCAGCAGCAGCAGCAGCAGAGCCGACCGGGTTGCTGCAAGCCGCTAAGAAGCTGGCGGAATTCCCAGAATCACTTCCGGGGAGCGATAAAACCGGCTCTGGATGTACCTCTAACGAAGCGAGGTGGAGAGGCGGAGACAGGCGCTGGTTGTCTCGGGCTTCCTCGGGCCTTGTGGCTTTGCATCAGAGTTATGCTGTGCGCAGAGCGCGCACGTGTAGACACGTTCATCCTCAAAGCATGAAGAGCCAAAGTCAATGACCTGCAGGTGCGAGGCCCGAGACTAAGCTAAACGACAGTCCGAGTTTTCAGGCCCGGCCTTGATGCCACTCTTGGTTGGATTCTTCAGCAGCACATTCTCCTGCGGTGGCCACGCCGCGCAGGCGCTTTTTGCATCCCGTCGCCACTTTGAAGGCCCCTGCCGGCTTCAGATCGCAATGGATGATGTGCAGCTTCTTCAAGAAGCGAAGGGCCTCGACGAGGACATAAATTATGGATAAATCATCGGCCACATGCAGCATGCTCGGCCCGGCTTAACCCCTGAGCTCTGTGCAGCCAACAGCTGGATGGCAAACCGTCGGATCAAACCCAAGGACACCTGAGGCTTTTTGCAATGCCCAGGACACCGACCGACTAGCAGCAACACGCATGTCAAGCACGCGAGCAGAGACAAATAGAGAGACAGATGTATGACGTATGTATGGATGGATGGATGGATGGATGGATGGGTGCATGCATGTGTGAACACATGCTGGCATGCACGTGTGTATGTGTATATACACGTGTCACAAAACATCTCCGTATCCATCCATTTCTCTGTCTGTCTGTCCTATCCCCCAAAACAAAGGAGTGGATGGGCGGTACAATTCGGTCCACGAGCATATGATTCCGGGACGGGGGGCGCCTGCGTGGATGGGTGTGCGAGAGGTCTTGTTCAGTGTATTTGATGCCAGGCGCGAAGGCTCCTGGTTTAGCAGCGACAATGTCCGTACTACACCCCAAAACTAACGGTGCCCTGCTTTGCAAAAACCTAAGTTGGGCTGAACACGCTTTCTAGCTGAAGCCTCACAACTCCCTTACGACAGACAAGGTCGCCGACACTTCTTTCACCCTCTATAACGTGGCGCCATTCTTAAGCGCGTCGTAACAAAAAGAACACCTAGTTTGTTACCCATTGTAAGGCTTCCCGAAGAAGTACATGTGTTGACTCGCCGCAGTAACAATCTTTAGGAACGCAGTCGCAGCAAAGTGCAGCATGCGCACTACACAATGTCACATGGCCCAAAGGAGCCATGGAATTTCACAGACAGTTCACTGCAGATCCGGTTTTTCAACGCGAATCTTACAATGGATTCGTTCGGAAATCCTTCGTTACAGCATGTTGATGCTCCTTTTCACACCCAAACAACAAGTCGAGTCAGAGCGACGATTGCACAAGTGTGTGGGGTGCTGTGTCATTTTGGCCTCAACAGACGTCCAGCGTTCACTCTTAAAGGTGCTGGAACACACTTCTGAAGAGGTATCTTGCAGCCTCGTTCTTGTGACTTTCGGAGTTTTGCCCCATGCTCTTGGCGTCTTTGGTGGCACTCGTGGATATGCATGAGTGCTACCTGTCGGTTGTACAGTCATACAGTATGCAATAACAGTAATAATACATGTACGTAAACTGACCCCTCCAATGTTCAGGATGAAGACAACACACAAAGGCAACCGGTATCAACAAGATGCCCACCGAGAGATTGGGCACCGGGCTCCCTGGAAGTTGTTGTTCCTTGGTTAGGTTGCATGGTGAGCACTTCTTTGTATCCCACTTGACACTCGGTGTTGGCTACTGGACGAAGCTGGGTCCGAGAGTCTTGATGAACTCGTAGAGGTTGATACTCAGCAGCTCAAACGTGATGCATAGATGGTTCCTGCATAGACAGCGGTCTCTCACAAAGCAAAACCCCCGCTGCCACAGGCTCTCTTGCCTGAAATAGAAATAATCCAGCATGTGCACGACCTGCCATTCCGAATCTCCGACAACATGCCCTGGGTCGTGCGACACTGTAGTAGACGACAGCGAAAACTTGCCCGACGATGCGTGCTTTGTCGTTCACGCACTCAACGGGACGCTCTAGACTCTAGAAAGACTCCCCTCGAAAACGATGCAAACATGTCAGCATCCACGTTCGAGGTGCTTTCCAGATCACGCTCTCTAAGATGCTCTAAAATCTTCACCTCCACCAGGGCCTCCAGAAACGAGGTCTATGTCAAATGCCCTGATTGCAGCCAGTGCTACCGAAGCAATGCACGCCTGATGGTGAAATCGCTTTTTGTTGCGGACCTGAAGGGTGAATGATTTGAATGGGTGTCGCCCGCGGAGTTCAAGGCAGATTCCAGGCTACGTCTCGGTGATACTGAGACTGCCAATGCTTGCATCAGTCTCAGCCAAGCATCCATCTTCAAGGCGACGCAGTTGTTCGTCTTGAAATCGAACCTGGCACGTCTGGCTTTGAGAGGTACGGTCTACATTACTTGACGCCCAAACACTGCAGGATATGACAGAAGTTGCTGCTTCGCAGCAGACCGGCTTGACGAGTTTCGATGTGGGCTGCGTTGCGGGACTGCAAAGGAAACAGGAACGGCCGAGCGACGTTTAGGGGCTAAGAAGGCTGTCAGGGACGATAGAGCTTGATGATGGCTTGGTCCCGAGCCAGGAGCCAGAAGCACACCAGTAGAATAGAATACTCGATGCACCTCGATGTAAGAAGGCTGTGCGACGCTCTGGCATTGCAAAACGCAGCCTACGGGCTGTTGCCGGCGGCCAGGGCAAAGTTGGTTGCTCAGGTGAGTTGCGAGTATGCGCCAACAGCAGCAGCGCAGAATGACCAAACTTCTCCACACAGCTTGTTTCCACGGTGCAATGGTGACGTCTACTGCACGAGGATAGGATCGGCGACTGCACGAGGCTTAGCAAGCCAAGCTCGTCGAGATCTCCGATCATCTAGCATTCTACCTTGGTGCATTTCGCTCGCTTCGACGGGTGCTTGCTTCATCTACAGCTGGGAATGCACTTTTTATTCAGCTGGTCTTCAGCCTCTCAACACCGGCTCATGTGACCTGCACTTGTTGTTGTTGTTGCTGCTGCGGGTTGTGTCTCGCAGGTACCAGCGAACGGCATTCCGTGTGTTTCGGCAGTCTGCTGACACTCGCTCCATCTGCACCAAACGACAGGAGGCAACATCTCACAGGCCACCGTCGTGAGTTCGACTGCAGGATACTCCGACAAACCCCTAGAGTCGGCCTGATTTCAGTGCTAGGAGCTGACAAAGGTGCCAGGCTTGCGAGCGGACGACCTGCCCAAAGGAACCTTTGCCCAATGGGTTCAGCACCTGGCTGCCGAGCTGGCAGTGGTAAAGAAGATGACAGTAAAGCAAGAAGCCTCGTAGCGGTACAAGATGTGGTCGTGCCTAGGAGGCCAAAGGAGCTGAACAGATGATCGTGGCGCTGGGCTTAGCAGGGATCCCCAGGCTTAGTCGACGCCCTGAACAGTCTGGCCCTGTGGGCCACCCATGCTGGCTCGCCTGGCTAGTGCCAATAGCCGGTACTACAGGGGGATGCGGTTTATAGGCCTCAGTGGGAGCCTTGGATCCGGGCAGGACAACCATGTAATCGCCACGCTCGTCGTCGTACGAGTGGTTATTTGCCGACGCCTTTGCACGGTGCTATTTCGTTCTTGGGTTGCTCAGTCATCACTGGGTGCCGAACAGACGTCCCCCGAATTTTTGGAGCACCTGCACCGAAGTACCTGAGAAGCACTTCTGCGCACTGCTGGCATTGGACAATCGCGCCACTCCCCGTCAATAAACGTAAGAGCATCAATAAACTCAAAAGTGGATACCTTGCATCACTTAGCCCCAGGGCACCAGATTTGTGGGAAGTCCAAAATCTCCCCTTGCTCGAACTCTGTCAGCTCCTGAGACAATGTGATTTCCTCACGTTCTTCTGCAAGTCCCCTCATCCCATGCCACTGTGCCAAACAGCTGCCCACATGGTTCCTCGATGTGATGCTTGAGCACCTGGACATGGTCTGGAGTATGCTTCTTGTGTCTGTGACCAGTTTGGGCTTCGGCTTTAGGCATCATCGGCCACAGAGCACCGCAAAAAACTACCAAGGGATCTGCAATGCTGTACTCTCCAACTGCAGAGCATGTTCTGCGAGCCGGTGCCGCCTTCGCTGGGCTGAGTGGAATCTCCAATTTCAACTTTTCTTTCTCGCGCTCCTGGTCACATCGAAAGCTCGTTCAGGCTGGGATTCCGCGCTTGGGAACTTCTCATCATGTCAAGCCAACAGGCTGCTGGAACCATCACGGAGGACTGGCGGAGAGGGAGGACTAGAGAAGCTTGCTGCGATAGTGCAATGCACGGGAGTGGCAGGTCGTCCTTCTCCCTTTCTCGTTCCCTTTCCTTCTCCTGCTCCAGACGTTCTCGCTCTCGTTCTCGCTCTTTTTCCTTCGCCACACGAAGCCATGCTGGTGCTTTGCAGAGTCCACACTTGATCACCGTTTCAATTTCATTAGCTCTGATTCACAGCGATCTGGGCCCGAGTGCAACAGAAATCCCGGAGATCAAAGGGTCTGCCAGAGCTGCGGCTTCATCTTAGCGGCATGCCGGGGTCGCGGCTCGTTCTCTTTCCCTCTCTGCCTGAGACATCGGCTTAACAGAAGGGCGACGGCGGTGGTATGAGCCGGAAACAGCAGATGTTGCATCACAGCATTACATCTCATGCGCTGGAGCATACGGTATCCCGAGGAGTGAACGCGCTCGGCTTGGAGCTGGCTGTGGATACTCGCAGCTGGCAGGTATCATAGCGTTCAGCGGGAACGAAGGAACTGGAGAAGCCAAAGACGCTGAACACTTTGCTGTCAGAGAGTCTCCTTCGGTACTCCTCTGCAGTACGGGGTCTTTCAATGGTATTAAGTAGATGCTATTGGACAGGTTGTGAGAATCCTTCACTCTAAGACTTCACTGAAAAGCATTGCCGGGGGCACAGGAGATCATCGGCGTTGTGCCTGACAGCAGGCCCCCGTTTAAGAGCTGCTCCTGACAGGAGGCCAATGGCAGGAATGCTTTCCTGTTGTACATGAACGCCTACCGGAATCAGAAAGCTCAAACTGGCACTCCATGCAGAAAAAACGTGTGGAAGTGGGAAATCTGGCACCTTCTGCGCTGCCCAGGACTGGGAGCCTGCCCAGACTTATCTCACGTCATCAAGGAAACGGGCAATGACAGATCAAGCCCGAGTATGTTCGAGGCCAAGGGCTTTCAGCTTTCGGATTCGCTTCAGACCCCTTTTCCTGGCCGAGCACTGCAAGCACTAGCAAGTCCGGCCTCCTTTGGAAGAAGGCCGTGCAGTCAGGGAGCCGCGCGTGCCAGGGACCTCTGTGAATCGAACTGCAACTTCTACCGAGATCGGGAAAACAATGCATCTGGCGAGCCGCCACAAAAGGAGACAAGCATCCACCACAGGACGTAAGATGTCAGTAACCGTGCCTGTTTCATCAGAACCAGAAATCAGACTGGTGTGGTCGGAAACTGTTTGCGAGCTCACGCATGCAAAGTTGTGGGACTGAAAGCAACACAAGGTACCAGCAGAGGCCCGGGGACGTGAGTGCAGTGGCTGAATGTTTCAGTCGCCATCAGTCGCCACTTGACACATGTGGGAAGGCATGCTAGATTTTCATGTCCCTGGCAGATTGCCTTGTTGCTGTGGGATTTGCTCCTCAGCGGACAAACTCTGTACCGAGACTCGGTCTGAGTATGACTTCCGACGATGAATGCCTAGCGAAGCAGTTGCTCAAAGCCTTAGGCCTTAGATATGGGGGCTTGGGGGAGGCGGTGACACCATTGATCTGGTGCCTCTTGGGACGATCTTGTGACTGAAAACAACTGTAATACTTAAGCGTTCATTTTTCGTTTTGAGGGCTTGTTCGGCATGCTAGTCTATTCTGGCTTGCCGTTGACGCGCTGCTTTTCCTAGAAGAAAGCGGCGCGCCCTGGGCCGAGTTACGGCAAAAGTTGTGGCATTTTTGCAGGCTTGCTTCGCTCGCTCCGTCAACTCTGGGGCTGTTTTTCTTAGAGCCACGCCGTCAAGAAGATTGCAGTATCGAATCAAGGGTGTCGACGAGCAGTAGCCGCGCTGCAAGTCAGAACAACAAATGTGATTGTATTCGGCCGCACCATCAAGTGTGGAAAGCTGTTCACCGGGGCCGCAGGCCAGTACCACACGTGTCCAGCTCCCATCACTCCGGACGTAGCGTGAACCGGAGTGCATTGGGGCATCTTTAACTCCACGAGCGTTCTGTACTTAGGCGATTTGTAGGCGAAGTTGAAGGTTCAAGTCTCAGTCTTTATACCAAGCAGGGACCTGTCGCTTGCCGAGAGTGCAGTGACGATCTGTCCAAGAGGTGCGTCCATGTGCGTCCAATCTGGCTCCTTTTCGTATTCGCTCTCGGCACCCACAGGCGAAACACGCGTGACTGCTGCCTCCAATGCAATCAAAGTAATTGTTTTGGAACGACGTTGCGTCGCCAGATGTCGCCAGCTTGCGTTTGTGTGGCCTGGATTGTTTCGGCAGGGCGAGGTCATGGTGCAGCGCAAATTCTGCCACCATCTGGCCCTACGGATTGACTGTTGGGCTCCGCTCGCTCGGCCGTGCTGGCTGTGTGCAATTTTCGCAGCCTCAGCAAACAGCAAAACCAAGGTGGACGGGGACGGGTCAAGAGAGACAGAACATATGGCTCGCAGGAGCCCGAGCCGCGCGGCCTCATGACCCGCACAATGCCTGCTTCGTGCAGAAACTGCAAATCGACGGCGAACGGGGAATAGACAACTGGCAGTTTTGCAGAAGATTTTCGGATCGGTCGTGGCTGCGCGAGCATCAACCAGAACAAAACAATTGATTCAGGCAGGGCCGAATTGGTGATGGCCGAGGCTGCACTGGACGTGATCCGGAAATCCATGGGTAAACCACGAGGCTGATGCCATTCTCTAGTGGTACAGAACGTGCCAGCCTTCGTAGTGCAGGCAGCAAACATGAAAGGCACCCGACACGAAGCTTGTAAGCTAGTATCATGAGCATTATTCGAGGCCCGTTTCTCAGTTTGATCGGGTATGAAAGTATACCCTTTAACACGAAAAAGCGGTCGAGGTTCGTCAGCGGTCAAATCCAGCTCCAGGTGCAGTCTGGCACCGAAAACGGGCAGGGTCCCTTCCCGCAACCCTTGTTGCAACCCTCGGTTGAAAAGAAACTCAGCTAGCCCTGGATGCCAGCTTTCATTTTTTGCAACAAACCCGTTCGCGAAAAGACAATAGTTTACATCCTCGACGAAGAAACGAATCGAACAGTGTTTGTTGTGTTTAGCATCAAGCACGCGTGGCAGAATGAGATGACTCTGCGCACCGAGCGATATCTTGTCTTAGTTCAAATGCTCTAGATGTCGTGCACCCTAAGCCTTGCGTGCCTATCATGCCGGTCGGAAACAGACGAGCTGTCATGTTAAGCAGCAAACGCACTCCCGGTCTGTAGGGGAAGTCTGGGAAACTCTGGCGTGGCCGGCGAGCTGTACTTTCGGACGTTACAATCCAGTAACAACATAAGTCCTGTATCTTAGACAAACGAGGCCCTCACCGCGGGATCGCGCGCTCCGCCTGACCTTGCACGGGCACGCGTGTGACGTGAACATTCAATGCGCCCTATTCGGAGGAGCACAGTGTTAGAACCGTGGTGCAGCTGTTCATTGCCGTGGTCTAGGTCCCGGGCGAGCGTATTTGCCGCGCTGTCATTGACCCCGAGCTGACACCTGGAAGCCACAAAGCTAGAATCAGAATCGTTGCGCCCTCCCCTTAATCTCCCACGTCATGGACATAATAACTCGCAAACTCCTTTTGGTGCAAGTTTCCCTTTACAGAATTTAAACCGGCTGGCTGGCATCTCAAGCGGCGACATGGTTCAATGTGGTCGGCGGGTCAGCAAGAGAAACACCGTTCCAGAAAGATGCCTGTAGCCTGTGATGCCTGTGCTGAGAGAGTTTAAGCCTCCAGGGTCGCGAGAGCTGGCGGCGTGGCTGGCGGCCTCACAGAGGTGCAGTGGCGAAAAACAGGCGGGTTAAGGAATGTTTAAATGTGGAGCAGGCTCTGCGCTCTGCCTGCTCATCGAGTTGCTGCTGCTGTTTGGACGGTGCCTGCACGTAATGTAGAACTGCATTGGACGAAGACACTCGCTGCAATGCCCGGATGTTTCCCAGCTCCTCTGAGCGCCCAGCAAATGGCTGGGGCAGCTTCCCAACATGAAGCCTGCACACGACTTGCACAGTGGGCGCCTCCTGATCGCAAGCAGAAAGATTCCCTTCATTCAGCATTCCAAGTCTGTTGCTGCGGTGCCCAGTTGGAGGTAGTGGAGCTCGCAGCCAAACCACCCCCTTCAGGCATGCCAGGATCGCTAGAAAACGGCGGAGGTCTATGCAGGTGCAACAGCGACCAGGCCTGCACCATGGCCGACCGTCATGCTGGAGGAGAAAGTCGCACCTGCTAGCCCGAGCTCAAAGTGCGGAAGGCCTCGTGACTGTTTCTCCCGAGCCTAAGCGATTGCCGTGAGCACTTCGGGGAACGGGACCCTGCCATTCGTGTCGCTCGCATCATATGTGCAGCATCGTCATAGTACCAGTCTGACATGTCACTTCAAGCCGCTGCAAGCAGAAGATGACCTGGTCTTCTTGAGACTCGCAAAGGCTCTATGTGCTGTTGAGGGATGTCGCAGTGGGCCGCCGATGAACGGAACCTGCCCGATCGGATCGGCCTGATCTTCCGGCTTGCTAAAGTGAGAGGATGCATGGAGGGGAGCCAGGCCCCCATTCCGGTTCCTGAGTGCTTTGTACGTAAAGTTGCAGCAAGGAGGGCGCGTTTCGAATCTAGTCACATGCTCCGAAACGTCAGAAGGAAGATCAGTTTCGCAGCATTGAACGACTCAGGTCACCACATCCGTGGGATTTCGCCTTGCAGCGACTCTGCAATGGAATCTCTGAATCTGACATGTGCAGCCCTCAACACAATCCTTCGGCCTCCACGGGTGCTGGGCTTGGAGGCAGCCCCCAGCCTGCCAGAAACACTCAAAAGACAAACTCCTAGCAAACGCATGCGTAGGCATGAGGTGCTTCTTTGCTGTTGGGGCTGCTCCCTCGTGCATCCTTGTGCCTTCCAGCAAAAAGGAATGCAGCCAGGCCAAGGGCCCTGCGACGGGAGCGTGTCATTTTTCGACCAATCCATCCGTCGCCTGCACGGCACATGACGAACCACTCACAGTTGCGCACGCGCACACTACAGTGGCTACTAGCAGTCACTATCCCCTGCTGATCACTCGTCGAATCTGCCTTGACCTTGCCTCGGAACATGTTCATGACGGGAGCCCAAGGAAGCCACACGCAAACTGCATCAACTTCGAAGCTGTGAGCTTCGAGACTGGGGTTTATGCCTTAGCATCGGACGCGCCTTGGCTGCGCCCTGGGCTCTGGACCCCGGGCTCCGCGCCCTGTGGCGGGGCCCTCTGTGCTAATGATCCTTCAGAAGGCCAAGGCGGAGCGAAGCACTTGTCCGGCGCAGCGAAGCGAGTTCTCAACATGCGAAGCACAAGCCGGGGCAGAGCACGCATTTTGAGCAGTGAGGCAACGAATGAGGCATGTCATGCAACTGCCAGGGCCCAGCATAAAAGCAAGAGCCTCATCTGCAAGACGGAAGTGCTTTGTTTGTGTTTGGAAGATCTTGCTGCGAGTTCGTCCGATTGCGAGTCCTGAGCAGGCAGGTCATTAGACATGGGAAGCGCAAGGAACTGCAGCGTCTGCCGCAGCAAGCAATCTGTTGAGGTACCCAGAGTTCCAGAGAAATATACTGGCAGACGGCAGCATTCCCCAAACCTCCCGCTAAAAAACAAATTTTGGAAGTAGGGCGCTTCCACGACGGTCTTTCCGACTCACGATATGCCCCGAGACATGACTTATTTACGACCTCAGAAACGATCAGAAAGACTGCAGGAAGCCGTCCACAGATGTTGCATTGCCGTGAGGAGGCTGGTCACGCCGAATTTCATGCATCGAACACCGTCTCTCATAGAGCTTCACAGATACACAAGCCGTGCATCAAGTGCCTTTAATGCTGCTGCGGGAGACTTTGGCAAGTGCCGTTCTCATGCGGTGAGCGTAAGCTTCACTTCGCGCGAAGCTCGCTTGGCTGCCTGCCGCATGTCAGAACCGCAGGCAACAGCTCTTCCAGCTCTGCGGCAGGTCACGGCTGTCACAGACCCCACCTTGAGCTGCTCGAAAGCTTGGCGGCTACTGGGCCGTTTTTCGTAGTGGAAGCTGAGGCAACTGCAAGCGAATTTCAAAAGTGGCCAGAACCGCTTGAAGCTTCAAGACCCCCCCCCTAAGCGGTCTGCAAAAAATAGCTCCAAGCTGGACCTGCTGCAGATCTCTCGCATCGAGCCAAGAATGAAGTCAGGAATGTCGGGCGTGCGCCTGCCGGCCGGTTGCGACCCCCTCTGTCAATCCTGCGACCCTGCTGGATGCACTATCTAAACCCCCCGCAACTCGAAGTCCAAGGACGCCTAGTGCGCCGAACGGTTGATCTGCCTGTTGATAAGCATCTCTTTGGTCAGGTCGGCCAAAGTTGTAATGTTCTCATACGGTAGAGGCCCTCCGCAGACCTGCCAAGGGCTGCATTCGAAGTCTGGTCAATCTGTAACCACCGCAACCCAGACCCAACCAAGATATACCAAGATCGAAATTTGAGATCTGGGTTACGAAAGCTAGATCAACAAGGTCGAGACAGCAAGGGAGCAGCGTGAGCTGGTCATTTTCGAGGGAGCAGCCCAATCATAGAAATGAATACTCTCGCATTATTGGCAAGCTCTAAGGCAGCAGAAAAGGCTGTCGGAAACATCGCAAAACAATGTGCTCTGCAAAGTTCTTCACAGATATCACACTGGAGGGGGGCTATTTCTGAATCTTTTAAGGCACCCGTCATGACAGGAGGAGGGGGCACCACCTAAAGATTGCAAGCATCAATCTTAAAAGGGAAGGCGGGTGGACCCCTCCCTACCACCCGGCTAAGGCCCGGTGTCGCTTGTTGACCTGCCTGAACACCAGAGAGCAGCAAATGATTAGTAAACGACAACTCTCGCAAGCTTCGCAGACCTAGCTTTCGTGAAATCCTCAAGGGGACCTCCACAAAGATGCAGCCCATGGCCCAAACCTTGGTGGAACATCGGCTGCACACAGAAGTGGGCTGAGGAAAGGCTAGGGCAAGCGCGTCGATCTTTTCCGTGATCTTCGTCTTGCTGTCAAAGAGCTCCGGTGCCATGTACCTGGCTTAAGTGGTTTGCAAGACATTTCCTACCCGGATCACCTTTGCTGGACAAGACTGCCTTGGAGAGCCACCGTTGTTCTTCTTGGTGATGTGCGTGCGACTGGGGCAGGTCAGGTCTGTCTTTGATGCTGAGCTGGCGCTTCTTTCCAAGAGTCGGAGTCATACTAGCGGGGAGTCTGCGCCTACACCGAAGAACACAGATGTGGAAGCGAAGGTCTGACTGGCTACCAGAAAGTCGGTGCTCTTGAGGAGTACCCAACTTGTGCCAACGCCCGTTGATCCACGCATGGATCTTCGCAAAATGGTTCTCTCAGCATGCACAGGCGGATTTTCAGAGAAGTCAGCTCCATTTCATCCGAGAGGATTCTGACCAGCAATATTTCAACACTTCCAAATTGACACTTGATGGCTCCTGTCATCCCAGAGACCTACGCACCTGCAAGTGCCAGAATCAATTAACGGTGCGCGTTCAAACTCTTTGCACATGTACTGTTGGTTCGATTGCCGTCGATGCACACTTGCACAGAAAGGCAGACACACAATGACACGCACACACACACACACACACACACCAAGACGGACAGACAGACACAATAACAAAGACAGACAGAGCAGGAATCTGCAAAAGCTGTGTCGAAGATTGGCCATCGGGCATCACCAAACAGTGGTTAAACACTCAAACGGCATCACATCATCGAGGGCTTGCACAGAAATTCAGTCTCAGGTCAAAACTAAAATCCACACCTACGGGCCTGCTATGGCCTGCTCCTGCACTCATCCACTGTCGCGATACATGTTTCATGAATTCGAACACCAATTGCCGACTCACAGCACTTCGCACCTTCCCGTTGCACTATGTACTTTGCAGAGTCACCAGGGATGCTGTCATATTGATGTGCAACCAGCACGATGCAACTGTCCGCCCTGATCGGAATTTTCGGTATATTGTTCCTGTAATCGCGATGCGGCGATGCTCGAAAAGCTGCGGCCGACAACAGCTACAGCGAGGGACGGCTATGACGGCTAGTGATCGAGCATGTAAACGATGAAGGTTCGCTTCCTTATGCTCCGTCTCGGACGGGTGGACTGCCAGGCCAACATCATGCAGTGAGAGCCCGGCTCCATGGATTCCGTCAAGCCGAAGTCGCAGATCTGCACACAAAACCACGCTTTTGTATCTCCTCTCGAACCGAGTCCCGCACTGACCGCGTGGAACCCGTGTGTAAGCTTAAACCTGCGTATGCTACAATTCTACACGTAGCGGTGGCAACGGCTACATATGGCTACATGTTGGCTCATCCCCCGAGCCGAGGTGTGAACATGCAGCATCAACTACTGCATAAACAAACGCTTCTTTGTGCAAGCCGCAGGTGGTGGATTTGTCGCAAGTCGCAAAAGGAATCTAAACATCAAGCATGAGCACAGAGTCAGCTCATCGCAGAATCATGCGTTATTTTCGGAGGCTGTGTAGATTATACGTACCTTCCGGTACAGAGTTTCGAATCTACAATAATGCGATTTGAGCCAACAAAAAAGCAAGCTCCATCTACAGCCACCTTGCGAAACGTCCTTAAGTTCAGAATGCACCGGGAAGCACTTGTACTTGCAGATGACACTCACAGTAGGCTGAGCGTCTGGTTTACTGTGCGACTATTTCATCACGCGAAACTGTTGATGCACTCCAACAACCGATGTGGCGGCAGTGTAATGTCGATCCTGAGAAAATGGCCGCAAGGCCCGATCAGTTCGAAAAGAGTGGCAGAACCTCAAATGACATCTCTTGCTCTGGGATTGCCTGCGGTTGAAAATCAGGGTCGACCACCCAAGGGTATCCACGGGGCACCCTGGGTCATGCTGAATCATTGCGCACATCGACAGGGTGTCGACGATCCTGACTACAGTCGGCGAGGCACAACCACGACAAACACCTTGACACGGCTGCGCTCCGTACTGCCGCTCTACCCGAAACATTGGCTTGCTCCACTCCAAATATAACTAAGAGCACGGCGTGCCGAGCACGACACCGATTTACAAGCCGGATACTTCAAAGACCAAGTATCCCTCCGCAGCGAACTTCGCTCGCTGCTCTACACTGCTTGCAGTCTGATGACACTTTCACGCATGTCGCTGGGACGCTGACACAGCACTCACAAGCCTTGAATGGAGCTAGAGCTGCTACCTTTAGTGCCATGCCTTGGCCACTGAGCGCCAGGAAGCCGGGCGGAGGCTGAGGTTGTTGCTAACGTCTACATGTCTCCCTAGTTTCTAGTGTGCTCGCTCTTCAGAAGTAGGTGCTATCTGTCGCTCCCCGGCCCAGCGGATCCAACAAAGCCGTCCTGTGCAGCTCATCAGAGACTTACTGGCAGTATGTACTAATCCATCATCGTCGTCGTCCGCAGAGAAGCTGCTTGAGAAGTGCCAAGGAAAGGATGATGCTCGACAGACTACAACTGCAGGATTGTAATCTCAGCTTCTGTGGTGTGAACCGGCGACGAATACCATCGAAGAAGAATCACAACATAAGCCCAATGAAGGGCATTGGTTTGAGGATGCATCTGCTTGCAAGAAGAGACATCTGTTGGAACGATCAGGATCTCGGCTGCCTTGTAGTTTTCAGTACAGTCGTGGCTTTGTGACAGTGCAATCGCTGTCATCATGTCATTGCAAGCAGGCAAGGCCAACCAAAACAAACAATTAGGTCCCAAAATTGGGACGCTTCGGCGCTACAGAATGTTGGACTGGCAGGAGCCTGCCGCACCACTTACGACTCTGGAACGCGCTCTTGTGGCTCACAAGCTCGGTTTAGGCTGTGACCTCGGCCGTTTGTGTTTCTTCAGCCAGGGTCCAGAGGCAAGTCGAAGCGACGGCCGCACGGCCGCTGCAGAGTAGGTTGCAGCTTGCTTGATCAACGAACAGGCGCATGCAGTCAGCTGCTCAGTGTACAAGTAAGAGAAGGTTCATGCTTTCATGATAACGAGGTTTTAACCGCTTGACGGGCTCAGCATGGTGGACTGTTCCGAGGCCTGCGCCCAGCTAAGACTCTACAGCTATCGACTTCCGATGCTGGTGAGTGACGAAACAGCTTTGTTGCCATCGGCTCTTGGTTTGTCGACCGTTCAAACGGAGCACAGCAGAGCCTGCCTAACCTTGGCCTGGGGTGACATCTTACGCCCGGCTTTGCAACGACTGCTCAAGTTACCAGTGCACGAAATGTAGTTCGCCTACTTCACGAAATCACTCGGCCATCATCACATCGGTCCAGATGTGATGCGTGCCACGCATGCCCAGTTGACGTCTACATGAGCAAACGCAGTTTGTCTGAGATTCTCTGAATTGGAGTCATGTGTTTCCTCCCGAATTCAGCCCGTTCTATAGTCTGTAAACCTCTGCCTTCGAGACTCTCGGCCCTTGCCTGCAGAAATGGTACTAATGAGGCTAATGTCAAGCTGAAGCAGGGATGCCAGATCATAATGTGGTAATCCGCCAAGGCCGGAGGACGGGGGCGACTTCTCTGTGTCCAGAGGAAAACGTAACAATGGTATTCCCCCCCCCCCCCCCTCCCCCTGGGTGCAATTTTGCAGGGTCCGCTACGTCCCTTCATTTTCACAGCTCTGTCGCGGGTCCCCCTCAAGAGTTTGGGCTGGGTCCCAAAATGAATGATTCTGAAAGCGATTCTTGACCCCCCGCTGAAGCACAGCTATGGACATGCACTCCGGGGCCCGCGGTGGCTCTCGCGCTGGCGGTTGATTCAAGTATTTGGCGAATGCAAGATTGTGTGCGGCAGTATGCGGTAGATCGTGCAGGTGGGCATTTGCCAGCATCACTGCGCTTCGGGATGCTTCGGGCATTTCATGCTGCCAAGCTACATTCGATCTTTCGACTTTGCCTGCTTGTTGTCCTCCTTGGAACCCTCAACGCCGTTCCTTGGCATTTGGCTGTGCTATGCTGGAGAAGAGACTGAGGATCCAATGCCAACTGTAAAAGGTACCAATGCGCGAACTGATGCCTGCAGGAAACTACCATCGACAAACGAAGTCACTTCGTCCAGTGTTCGACTATCCATGTCTGAACATGCAACGTACCATTCTGGCCCGAAACAGCCGCCTGCGAGATGCACGATAATATTGGCGCGATCAGGCATTGCGGCGATGCGGTGACAGGCGCAACTTACTCACTGACAGTGGCAGAATGTCGGAACACGAAGATCGATTTTTGGAGCGCTTGCGACTATCCACCCTCCAATTCTCCAAGGTTCAACGAGAGTACGTTCCGGTAAGCGGCAATCTCCTTGCAGGAAGGTGGATGATGGAAACCGGGGCCAAAGCACATTCCCGTTGTAACGTCATGGAAAGGGGGTATGTACATGGTTCGCACGCCGCGCGGCCTCGTCACAAGTTGACAATTTGCAGATCTCGTTCTCTCAGCAGTGGAATGTTCAGAAACGCAAGCATGATCACACGCAAGCAGGCTGGCGTCCTCGCGATCCATGCGGCGCAGCTGCACTGCACGCTTTAGCTTGGAAGGATCCTCCGTGAGCTCACCTTTGTAACAAGAGCGATCGCAGCCTACGCGTGTGGCTGAATCGAAAGACACACTTGACAACAGCAAGCAAGTTGATGTTAGTTTCACATTGTTCACATGCCACATCACCATCGTCACCCTGCAGCCCAAAAGGACATACTGCAGGCTCAATTCGACCACGGTGCTGAGGGACGACTTCATCTTCTTTGCCAAGTGCTGGTCGGCGGTTCTGGAGACAAGAGTATCGTCACGGAGCAGGAAAATCAAATAAGCTCATAGCGGGCCAAATCAGCCAAAGCCGCATGCTAAGCAGCTGTGCCATTCCGCAAGTGCAAAAATGCGGAACACACATGCTTACGAAAGAAGCTGTTGGCAGCTCGGTCAGGAAAAAGCTGCAAAACTTGTGTGATTCGCCGTCCTGTTCACAGGAACTGCATGTCCTTCCTTCAAGGCCTTCAAGTCCTGGGCATCCACCTGTGCAGCAGTGCAGCACACTCCCAGCCCCCAGCGGCCCCAGCACAAGCCGCATCCCCGCGTTGAAGCAGCCTCATGTTTCCAGGAGTTGTAGTCCTGTTGGACGGAAGGCTCGTCACACTCCACCATGCGATCTCAGGGCAGCGGCGCAAGCGAAAAGTCTCTGCAGGCATTTGTTGAATGCCTCACTTGTCACTCTTGCCAAGGTGCTGTCACCAACTTGAAGAATGCACCTAGGTGCAAACTGTGGTTCGGGCCTGTCTGCTATTCCCGAACCTCCGATCTATGCAGAAGGGGCAGACTCTGCTTCTCTGCTTCGTTAGTGATCTGCTGACACGTTGTTGGGCTGGTCGATCTTCGCTCGCACTTGGTTACACCAACCATGCTCTTTAGGACGTCGATTTGCGCTAGACGAGCTTGGCCGCATTTGCGATGTCCCAGGTTCCTGTGTCTGTGTTGGGCATGCGCAGACATCCTACACGGGGTATGCAATCATTGATTTGTTACAGGCTTGACTGAGCCTTGCAGTGAACGACTGGCCGTCAGTGATTTGCTCCTGTGTCGCTGTTGCTTGAGACTGAAGTCTCATCACCACCCCGCCCTCAAATACAGTATGATGTGCGCAACCACTTCGTGATCCGTCTTGTCTTCCATGGGTGCGTCGCTGCGCCATTGGTGCATTCTGAACGCATTCGGGCACTTCACTCGACGAAATCCTGTTGACATCTACACCAACTTCGCCGTCGGTGTCTTCCTCGTCTCCCTCGCATCTGCCTCCAACGTCTCTTGATGTCGATCACATGACGATGACACATGAGCATGACTATCATCGTATTCGTCAACACCGCAATGACGACGAATAAGAACAATGTCTTCGGGGACTATGCTATCGTCACATCAGCACCTCCTCCAGCCACATGCAGCAGAGACGCATGTCGGGGCGGAGGCAGAAGCGAACAGAAACAAGTCGTTGATGCTTGTTTTCGCCATGTCGTGAACGGTATGACGTTGATGTGACTTGACGGCAGAGGCTTGATTGGAGCTACAACCCCTTTTGCCTGTTACAAGCGGGAGACCTGATGCAAGTTACACATTCCAACACAATGCGATGAGCTGGGTTGAAAGTTCAGGCGCCTCCGGAAGTCCTCCAGCTTGTCAACCGCTGCAGCTTCGGATAACGTTGACTTGGTTGACTTCACCTTCTTCGGAGCCTTGCGGCAGAGCAGAAGGGCTCACGGCACTCTGCTCGCATCCCTCGGTGACCAGCAGCGGGAGACCAAGCCCCCGGCGTCTCGGAGCTTGTTCATGGCCTGTAAGGCAGTCTTGAGGCACGTGCATGGAAGCCAAGCTTTGCGAGTCCGCTATTCAGCACGTCGTGTCTTGCTTCGCGAGGGACAGTTTGCTTAACTGTCGGATTGCACTCCGAATGCAACCCGTTCCGACCCACTGTTCCACCCTCTAGCTGGCGTCACGGTTGGGTACTCTTTTCGCTGACGGCGGCAGTGGTGGTGTATGGTGGTGTCGATGCTGCTGCAGAGTGCTGCCAGACAAGCAGCTGCACTTTGCTTAAACTTCTGAAACAACCTAGCTCAACTGTTGTGAGTGATTATGTTTTCTTGATGCACACAGCCGTCCCAATTTCCTGCAGGATACACTCGCAACCTGACTCGTGACTGCGTTGCGGCCGTCGCGGCCTCCTTCGAAGGAAACGCATGTGCGTGTGCGGCGTGCTGCTGCGCCTTGGCCTGCGCCACATGGCAAATAGGCTCACATTCAGCCGTGAGTGAGGCAAGGACGAAAGGGCAACACTGGTTGGTCTGCACTGTACGGGCACATTCCAGCACGTAAGAACCTGAGGCCTTGCGCAGTCACTCAAGCTGAGGCCAAAAGAACACTGCCCTATCGGCATTCTGCATGCAGCTGACTCCATGCTGATTGACGTGCCAAGCTCCGAAGCCTCTGCTACTGGCGAACTCCTTAGCAGACAAGTCCGAGTTCGAGCTTCAAAGATGCCCCAGCCATGAGGTCAACTCTTCCATCTGCCTCTACAAAGTATTCCGACTTTCGAAGAGCCGAGTTGCTGAGAGCAGCCCATCGTTGCGGTTTCACGGCCACCAGTCTGAGCAGGTTATAACAGTTCGAAGTGCACAACCACTTACTCCCAAACAGCTCTGCACCAAAGCAAGCGGTAGCTTTGCCGTCGCCTTGTCTTCGACAAACTGAGGACAAGCCACGCGGAGTAAGCGATATCCGACGTACCTCAAACCTAATGCATCATCTTTGAGCCAAATGTGACGACAACAGCCGGCCATCTCAACGAAAATCAGGAACAATCATTCCCGAGCGGTTCAGCTTGTTTGGGAATGAGCTGCAAGATGTAGAATCATGCTGACATGCCGGTGCCCATCGGCGGAAAGTGCAGTCTCCCTGATGAAGCCTTGATGTTTAAGCTCAAGTCCAGCACAACGTTCAAGGACTTCAGATCGCGGTGCACGATGGTAGGGGTTTGGCTGTGTAAGTACCTGCATGAAGCTGCATAGTGCCAGAAGTAGGATATCAACAGTTTGACGAGATGCAGGGTCACGAAACCCCATCTGCAATCCTTGGGTGCAGTGCGAGTGGACTGGTTATTGCAAGATCACGAATGCGAGCTTGCAGCCTCAATGAAGCCAAGATTCTGGATGCACATGTTCATGGCATGGCTTGCCGGCAGCTTTTGCCTCGGATGTCGGCTGCGCTGAGCCCCTGGCGTGGAGCCCTTGAAAGCTCGGAGTCTGGCCGTCGCACATGCAGCAGGTGGTGAAGGGACCCTCCTGGCATGTACCTCAGGCACGGCTTCGCGAGTCCCACGCGTCAAGGCGATACCCCAATACCCTTCAAAGCCCGGGATGCCGAAACCGTATCTTCTGCAAGATTGACAGCTTGGATCACTTGTGGATCACCCCCCTTCAGCACGACCGAGGGGCTCTGTGACAAGGCATAGATTGGGCAGCTCCAAGCATGCTCCCAAGAAGCGCACCTCGAAGGGCCAACGCGCAAATCGCCAGGCAGCCAAACGGCTTTTGCTTTTGCAGCAGAAGAAGACTTCTCCGAGCCCGCTGACCAAGCGTTTATGGCTGAGGTGGCGAAAGGAGTCGATCTCTCTGGCCAAATCCTGCAAAAGCTTCTCTCAACTCGCCTGTCCGGGCTTGTGAGGGCCTGCGAGGCCGCTGTGACTTCGTGTGCTCAACAGATCCTGTACCACCAACTCCGTCATGTTCTCATCGAAGAAGAGCTGCTTGATGGCCACCTGCCACTGAAGGCATGGCTTTCCAAAGCCTCTTTGGCAACACTGGCTTCAAGATGCACTCTTCATGTGCTGAATCTCTTGTAGAGTCACAGTTTCAGCAAGTGCAGCTTCTGAGGTATGTGTCGCTTCCTGGACTTGGTCCAGTCGTCTGGACAAGGCCTCCTTGTTGAGGTACAGGCCACGGAAAACCTCAAACACAATCTGAAAGAAATGTCTCGGCGTCAAGACTTCAAAACAATGTGTTTATCTACCTGCCGCGTGTTCATCTGATCTGTAGTCTTGGCAGATATCCGGGCCTCGCCGAACTCTCCTTTACCCAGACGTTCGACGAAGGTCAGCTCGCCGTATCGAACCTACAAAGCCGCTGGGGTCAGGCTCCACAAAAGAGCACTCATAACACTCCCACCCGTCAGCTTCCCTCTGCTCTGCACCTTCTCGGGCTCCGTCAGGTCCCTGCTGCTCAGCATCCACAACAGACAGAGTGTCTCAAGTTACACATGCTCGGACTGCTCCAGCAACAATGTATGCGAGCGTTTGGCATTGTCCTCTGACCAGACATGACGGGAACAGACAACCTACCGTCGGGTTTGCGTTCATTTAACACAGGGAGGGAAGCATCGGATGCTCTAATGCAAACCACGTGCCTCCCATGAAGCGCGCCTACACGCAAACATACATCTTTTAAATCTGGGTCCATCCTCGACCCGAGACGAGAGCCTCACTCGCCCTTTTCGGCACACACGGCTCACTTCTTTGGATTCCACGACCGCTTCGACTGCTCACTCTGCAGACAGCCTCTCTAGTGCCTCGCGCGGGGTAGAGAAGCCAAACCTGACTGAGTGGTGGTTTGTCAAACGAAGGCGGCGGTTGGGCGTCAGTTTCCCTACTGTATAAGTCCGGACTGGTTGGGGCCCCAGCTTTGTCGGGACTGGCATGGGAGCCTCCACCTGCCCAGTTGCAACGAGTGGGGGATGAAGCAGATCTACGTTGGTCAGACGAAGGCATCCCAACCTCAAATGTCTTACACCGCTTGGACGGCACTTTACATCAATTTACACTGCAGAGGCTCAAATCAATGACTCAGCTTGTCATAATCGCTCTCGCTTCCACCTTGATTGTAGCTTTGGCTGCCAAAGGCCTCATTGCTGTGAGATCGCTCTCTGGTCCGGGCGACCATGCAAGGTTTTGAGCAATGGAAAGGACGATTCCATTTCACAAGGACACACATAGCAAGCCCCTGGGAAGTCGTAACGTTGATCTCGTAGGTACTCGGTTACATGATGCATCCGACCAATCAACCCGGCATTCCTGCCCCTCAACTTTAGGCGCTGGCTGTCTGGCTCGCCAGTTTTCAGACTGACCCCGCCTGCAGGCCTGCCAAAGGTCAGCGTGGTTGTTGTGCTACAGGTACAGAAACATGCAACTTGCGAACATGGCACAACACGGAGAAGCTCGAGAGCATGATACCGCAGCAGAGGGCAACTTGATGACCAATCGCATACAGACATATGCATGCAATATGTTTCTATGCAGAAACATCAGATTTCTCTCGCTGGCAGTCCTGCCAAGCCCTCCGCACTGGGCTTGCGAAGCGAGCAGAGACCTGAGAGGAAACGGCTGCAAATCTTCATCGCGATCGCGTGGGAAGGCAGAAATTCGAGAGCATCATTGTTAAGTGTGTGGAAGAGTCATATCGAGTTGGGTTGTCTCTGTTTTTGCTAACAGCCCGACTCGCACATTCGGTCCATCTCTTTGCGGGTACGGAAGGTCGGGAAGAGGGGTGTCTGCGTTGTGCTGAACGTGCCTCACGTGTGAACCGACACTGGTAGGTTGTGAATAGCTCTCGATGCACCCGCAACAAGCTGGAATGCCCAATACCTACGCCTTACTTCAATGCCTGGCCCGAGAACGCGCTCAAACTAGGTTCTTGCAACCGCAACACAGGGTCCATGAGAGAGTCCATCAGCTTCTCGATTGCAACATTGAAACTTGCAACGGCAGGACCCACACACTGCGCCGGGGGTTCGTTTTACCTAGACACAGTCTTCCTCATTCTGCCTTTGGCATTTGGGGGTCCGAGAAAAACTCTACAAGTAGGAACCCAGCTTTCAGTGATGCTTCTCAGCTCTGCAGTCATGGCTTGCATCGAAGCAAGAGCGATGTCAGTTTGGCAACTTATGCCTGTCTGGGGGCAGTCGTAAATCTCACTCTGCAGGAGGCAGGGTGTCTACCGTCTCAGGGCAGAGCTGTGTCTCCTGCACATGTGCCGCAGATATACTTTCTTCAGAAGCATGAACACAAATGCCCTGCTGCAAGGACCAGTATATGGATCGACGAACATTGTGGCTAGTCGGCGTGATTCAGACAACATGGCTGTCAGGGCTTAATCTTGTTGCTGACTTGCTCCATGCTGACAAACTTGGGTGTTGCCAAGCAGGGCCTGATCTCTTGATGCGTGACTCGGGTGGTCGGAATCGCGGACATGCACATGCTCGACCGGCCTGCTGTGGGTGGCAGCGATGGTACTGGCGGAGAGCCTGTGCAGGGTTGAGCCAGTCTGCAAGTAGTTGGCCTTTCTTCTGCAAGCCTAATCTGTCCCTTGGTCTTGAGAACCGTCGTCGCAAAGCACATCGACTGTGGAGTTTGTGCAAGCTTCTGGCCTCAACAAGCAAGTTGTTTGTTGCCTGCCACGTCCGTCCTACAACGTAGTGGCCTCGCGTCCAGCTACACACCCAACAGCGACCCTCGGCGCCGCCTGGAATCCTGGAGCTGGGCCTGGCGGCACTGGCGGGACGCTCCTGGAAAGCTTAGCGTGAATCGTGAAGCCGCATTCTTTCTCTCCGTTTCATGGCCGGAAGCTCCTCGTGCGGGAACTGCAGCAGCCCTTGTGCTGCCAGCGAACTCTGCCTCACCTGCGGCAGTTTGTGACTTTGCGGATCTCGGAGCTGGTCGACTTCCCACCTCGCCGGTGGGGGATGCTCCAAAGCTTCCGCGAGCTGGAGGGCCTGTGACGGAGCTGCTAGAGCTGCCTTCAGAGCTCGACAACACTGCGCCACTGCTAGCTGCTAAAGCAGGAAGGCTGTCAGGTCTGACTTCGCACAGTTCACTTCCGGGTTCGGTTGCAGATGCCACCCGCCCACCTTGCAGACTGTCCTGCCAGGCTTGCGATGCGAGGTTGGCAAGTACTGCTGCACGCAGACTGGCAGGACTGTCGATCTGAGCCAAAGCTGCCTGACGCACCATTCTTGCCACAGCCGGGCTGCGAGGATCCTGACACGGAGCTGGCAGATGCTGGCAGCTAGCAGTGGGTGAGACGGCCCGGACCTGTTCCTTCTTCACTCCGCTCAGACACCAACAAATTAGCGGCAAACTGTACCGAGTGATGCGGTGATCTGCTCGGGAGCTTCCAACAGAAAATGTCAAGTGCTGTCATCGTGCATCTTGGCGCGGCTGCAGGGTTGGAGAGTTCAACAGTCTTCACAAGACCTTCCCCAATCTGTCATGCTCTTGCGACCACCCAAAACATGGCCATGTTTCCGGGAGCGGTGCAACGCATAGCGCCTGTTTGCAATGCGGCTAGCCCCTCGATCTTAACAATGAACCTCTGCGCTGTTGGATCAACTCCTCAACATCCAAGTCTTTGAGTCAGGGCTGAGGGGTCTCCAACCTCTGAACAGCTGGTCTAGCCTACGGTACAATTCTCTGTTCATCCCTGTTCTGTCCTTCGAAGCATCGTCGCACAGCCGCCCCAAGCGCTTCAGAGCCTCGCAAGTCTCTGCATAGATCTGCGCCGCATGGGGAGCTGGGGGCAGCCATAGCCTTGAGGCCCCGAAAAGCTCTGCGCGCCTGCTCGCGGCGGCCGCTGCGATAGAGCCTGGCAAATTTGGACGGGCTGCAAGCAGCTCAGACTGTCAACTGACTGTCAGATACTGCACTCTCTCCTCTGCACCGAAGCAACATGCCAGGAGTGACAAGTAATATGCACGGTCTGCAGCATTGAAGACGGCGCAGCCGTCCTGTGCCAAGAACAGAGCTCAGCACGCAGAAAGGTGCCTAGCAGAGCGCTAAAGGTTTGTCGGTCCTCGGGACACCAGACAAGTCTGCGGTTGAGGCTGTCCACTGCGTCATCGATGCTGGTCACGGTTTGCCTGACAAACACACGGGTACATCCACTAGGCTAGGCGTTTCTGTCATCGAATCATCAATTGACTTGATTGCCGTCCTCCCGTGTTCGTGTTGTAATCACCTTCCTCATCCTTCCTCCGAATTCCTCGCTCGAAGTCGCTTAGAACCGGCTTTGCAGCAGCTGTCTGGGATCGTGCCAGCGCAAGTTCTCTCCCCACAATCTGCAAGCTACTCGGAGGTTTTTATCCCTTTCCTTCTGTGGCTCATTTCAAGTAGCTCCAATGCCTGTCCAGCAACCGCACGCGCCCCAGGAAAAGGGCCTGTTTGACAGCACTTGCCACTTGCTTCGGTAACTCTTCCAGAGGCTGCACGCGCCAACTGACCGGCCTCGTCTCCCTCGCTGCAAAGCTGCATAACTGACCTCGATGGACGGTCCCTCTCATCGATTGTAACATGAAGACGCAAAGCAATGACGCGTTCAATCGCGTTCTCTTGTTTCTTCTGGTGGCAGTGCTGATAAAAGGCAAGGGCAACAGTGCATCTGCTGATACTTCCACTGTCTACACGCGAGGCACAGGCTCTCGTGACCATGCTCCAGACTGCTCCTGCAAACGAAGGTGGGTCATGCAGAAGCGCTTTGCTATGTTTGGCTCATATTAATCTTCATGTGGCCTCGAGTCCAAGTGGGCACCTCTTGTGGGGGTGCCATGTCTGCCGACATCACGTGCATCACTGATGTGAGAGGCTTCGTGATGGCGGTGCCAGTTCTGGCACCAATCCCGCAACTGCCTGATGTCGACACTCCCTCGTCCCGACTCCGACCCGATGTATTGTCATCATTTTCGCAAGCGACAGGTGACGTAACGGCTTCAAACCGTTGAACTGAAGACGCGGTGCAAGTGCAGAAAGAAGAAATCCGCCGAGGCCACAGGCCCAGGCGTCTTGGGGGTTAGCTCAGGTACCCTCCACCTAATCCTCCTCCCTGCGGTCCAAATGTTTGGGGACACCCGCTTTTTGCGTTCGTTTGCCACCCCCTTGCCCGGCTTCCCCTCATTTTACCTGATTTGTCGGCCTCCCCCCCCCCTCCCCCCTCCTCCCCCCCCCCTCCCCCCTCCTCCCCCCCCCCTCCCCTTGAGATGTAACCTGGACGTGTATCCCCTCGCTAGGCGTACAGGAACACAGGCACTCAGGTGTCTCTTTTGCTACAGGCGCACAGCTGTAGTCCACTGCACTAGAACCTTGAGCAACAGGCATGGATACATGCAAGTGATACGTGAAACAGACAGGCACCTGGATGTGTAACATTCAGTGTTTCAACCAGGCACAAATGGGTTGTTGTCAAAATGCTTATTCCCGAAACTGACGTTAATGTGGCTGTAGTTGCGTGCCGCTTCATGTGGCAAAAGAAACCCTGGCTTACAGATACATACCAGCAAACGCAGGAGTTTGGGAATGCATGCGTGGATTCTTAAGAAGGGTACTAGCGCGCAGGCTTTTCAGCAGCTGCTGTCCGAAGAACTGTCGCTGCTGCTGCTACTGCTGCTGCTACTGGACTCTTGGCGGGAATGCAAGATGTCCCGCTGCTGCTGCTTATTGCGGGAAGGAAATGATGGCCTAACGGGCCTAACGTAGGCCTCCCTGAGCAGTCACCACTGCGGATCTCGGCATAAATGAGCAACCCCCGGCGCGCACGAGTTACGAGCAAGTTACGCGAAAGTTACTCGAAAGTTACGCTGTAAGTCGGAATGGGGGCGCCCGGCAACTGCAATCCGACGAGCTTGAATGGGCCCGGGTCTTCCAAGGCAGGTTGCGTTGAATTTTTGCTAGCGCCCACCTAGCGCGGATCTAGCGCACTGACCTCTCTTACAAATGCCTGAAAAATGACCTCGCTGCAAGCTCGGATGAGGCGGCACAAAGGCAGCGAGGCAGAGAACTCCTGAAGACACCTACGAGTACTCTTGTTACGACAACAACGAGTGCTGTTCAGCTCCGGAAATCTTCGGGTTTTGAAGATGCATGGCTTTAGGTTTTCATTACGGATCCTGCGGGTTGGGGCGCTTTGGTAAAACCTTGAGCATACGACATCATGCGGTTCGATTCCTGCCTAGCGCGAATCTAGCGGTTTTCCTAGCGCCAACTTCGGTAATAAGTGGCTCTACTTGCGTGCCGCCTCATAGCGAAGAGCAAAAAAGATACCCCCTCAATGCATTAATGTCAATTTAAATAACTCCACCCACACGCGAATTTAGAACGCAACCTAACACGTAGAGCTGCATGGCCGTGGAGTCGGCATTCAACTAGCCTGTTATTGCTCTCGGTCGAATTAGCGGAGTATTGAGCTACATCTGCGACTTGAAGAGAATCTATACATCTCTCACCTGAAGACAGCTTCAATGAAAAGAGCAGAACACGCACGAAAACGCAAACGGATCTTCAACTGAAAACTTTTGCTTGAAAGTTGCCCACTTGTGTTCAGTTTCCTCTCCAGGCGGAAAGCTTACTGTCACATAAAAGATTGTAGAGCTTAGCTCCACTTGATGTCAGCATGACATCTTGCGACACGGCAAATATATAAGGGCATGAGAAGTATCTTATCCTGAGATAAGTATCTTCTTTGAGAAAGAGTTCTTTAGGAAGTACCTTTTCCTGAGAAAAGCATCTCCCTATGAAATGACGAATGCTCAAGTGGATACCTTCTTCTGAAAGAAGCATTCCGTGAAACACTCTGCCAGTTCAGTCGATGAACTCTATGTCGCGATCCCAGGTTCTATCACGCCAATGTTCAGTACCATGCCAGCGGTAAATGTCAACCGTGTGGATCGGCATCACCGGAGCATGGCGAACAGGGTCGTAACCGCGGGGATCAGCAGGGGATCTAGGTAACGAAATCTGTGGATCAGGAGCAACGGCATCATCTTGTTCCAAAGGAACCTCGTCGAGTCCATTGTCCATTTCCACATCCGAAGAATCGGAACCTAGTCAGTGTTTCCCCTTGCTTTTGCCCTTGGACTTGTCCTTGGACTTGCCTTTGGACTTGCCCTTGTCGGCGTCCTTGCCTTTTCCTTTGGAGGACTTGCCTCCTTTGCCGTCTTCTTTGCCACCAGGAGGTTGTGCGGGTTCTTGAGGACGTTGAGAACCAGAAGCTTTAGCACCAGAAGCTGCCTCTCCCTGAGAAGAGCTTGCTCCCTGTGGTGCGGCTGCAGGACCAGTAGAACCAGAACCACGCGCCTTGTTCAGCTTCTGTCTCTCTTTTCTTCTGTCCGCGGCTTCCTTCAGGGTGTCGGGATTGCGGTTGAGCGCTCTCATCCTGCCTCCAGAGTACTGGTTCGCGTGAACCTCGATGAGGAGCGGAGTGTGAGCGTCATAGTCCCGATCGTTGAGAAGGTACGCGGCGCTGGTGGAGTTTAACAGCCACTCAGAGACATGGATGTCGAACTCAGTCTTTGAAGACGGAAACTCCGCCCATTGATCGTCCGACATGCTGTGTCCCCATTCCATGACTGTAGCCATAACAGGATCCAAACCAGGAAAAGTATTCCAGTCTGGTTGCTTAGCTTCCTTGTATGGCATTCCCAGCGTGTCCTCATACTGTTTCAGAAGCCACATGGCGTTTGCTGACACATGTCTCGCACGAGGCGAACAGAAGTGTGGGCACTTTGGGCTTTCTGACCATGCCTCCAAGAAGTAGTCGAGAAGCCCGGTAGAGGGCCATGTTGGCGTCGCCACCGATGAGGTCGACTTGGTAGTGCAAGCAGTCGATGAACATGTTGCCCAACACTTCATGAGCCAACGCCACCTTGTCTGCCGCCGCGTCGTTGTGGAGGTGGAAGACACAAACTCTTAGCCGGTCGGATCCAGCTCGCTCCAAGACCTTGGTCAGTGACTCATCTGGAACATCACCACGACTGCCCTGGAGACCGGTCGGTAACGTCATGCCATACACGATTTCCGCGACCATATAGGTTATTGGAAGGGACTCGTGGGCATATCCACTGAGAGTGGAGCCGGCAAGACGGGTGATCGAAGATCCGACACCATTTGTACGACTTCCCACCATCAGGTCCTTGGACTCGTTACGAAGGAATTGCCAACCGCGTGACTTGAGGAAGGCCTCTTCGGAGTCATCGATCTTAGCCGCTTCGCAGAGCATGAACAAATGCGTCTTCGACTGTGCAATCGATTTTATCAAGGCTCCTTTAGATGGTGTAGCATCGTCCCAGTCAATGTGATTAGCAACGGAGCTAGGAGCGGAACGCTTTCTTCCCCTGCTCATGTTGCCGAGATTGAGGATGAGCGCGGCATACTTGGTCTTGCTGGTGAAGATAGGGACATTGGAGTCCTCTGCCAGACCAAAACGATGAATATAAGGATTCGGCGTCTTCTCAAGAGAGAGGTCCCCGATCTCCTCTTCATCGACTCCGGTGCTCAAGAAGTAGTGAAGCATAGCATTCAAAAGTTCTTCTCGAGTTGCCGGATTGCCGCTTGCATCCAGGGACTTCAGCTTATCAAGAAGTGCTTCCATAACATCCAGTGCTGATTCTCGGATGTCAGAGGCCTTGCCCATGAGCTTGTCGTCCAAGGTGCTACGAACGTCCCCAGAACGAAAAACAACGTCCTTTTTGTCGGGACGACGCTCATAGATGGGATCCATCTTGTTGAGTTGGTCGAATAGATCCACCATAGAGAGAGAGTATTTCTGTCCCTTGTGGTTCGGAACATTTACCCTCCAACTCATATGCTGCACCTTGTAGGCGAGAACGGGCTCGTAATCAGGATCACGAAGTCCTGTATGATACAAGCCTGAATAGCCATATCCATGCAGCTGCTTGCAGAGCATCCGCATAGGGCTTTGTCGTTCGATTTCGGTGAGCTGATTAAGGAAATGTTTGAACTCTTCGAGATCAACGAGCTCGATCTTTTCCTTTGCCTTGCCCATTTTGTCGAACGCGTTCTCATTCTGGTCCTCTGCATCCTTCGCGGCCTGGTAGTACTCAGGATCCGGAACAGTCTTGCATTTCCCCCAGATGCCTTGATCGTGAAGTTCACTTTCATCATCCTTCTCGGGAGAAATGTCTGGCATGGATTCCTCACCCTGTGGTGAGCCTTCCTCAGCCATTTCAATGTTCTCGGACTTACCTCCTTCCTGACCCATGTGCACATCAGGTTCGACCTTCACCTCGGATGCCTCTCCCTGTGGAGAGCTTTCCGTGGCTTCGGTCTCCATTGACTCGACAGTAGCCCCAGGTACCTCTCCCTGTGGAGAGCTTCCTGGAGCATCAGTCTCCATTGGCACATCGGTCGGCTCGGTCTTAACCGGATCAACCTTCTTGCCCTGTGGCAAGTCCGTGGATCCAGACGACGGTTCGGAGGTATCCATCTGAGTAGCCGCGGGAGGCTCTTCGATCTCCTCGATC